AAAAAAAAATGAAAAAAAGGCTTTTTTGACAATAATTTCCGACAGTGAAAATTATACTTTTTCATTGCAATTTTTTCCTACAAAATTCTTGTTTCAAACAAGTAAAACAATGTTTCTGATAAAATTCAGTCCTATTTCTGCCATCTCAGCCATTACTTTTTTCCTTTTTTCCCAACACAGCTTCAAAGATGGCTTTCTCATTCACTCCTGTTTCAGAGCACRTGTTCTAACCATATTTTTGCAAGAAATGAATTCTGGGAAAACACCGTACAAGCCGCCAGCAACCTTCCCCTCCATTCTCAAATTGAAATTTTTATTAAGTCTAGAGCCCTCCTGGAATTCTGCCCAAATTTTGAGTTGCCTGTGCTCCTCGATAGCCAAAACCTCCCCCCCCCAAAAAACAAAACAAAACAAAACAAAACAATGTAGTGGGAGATCATAGAATTTGCCTTTAAGTGAAACTCTTTGTGAAGGTCCAAGTTCACCGAATCGCTTATTAAAAGAAAATTGCCTAAAAAGTAAAACCCAGCTGGATTCTTTCCACTTCCTGCAAAAAAGAGGCAAACTGTTTCCATAGAAACGGYAAACACTGTGTCGAGAGGACATTTGAAATCTTTTAACCTCAAAAGTGCCCTATTTTTCTGAAAGGTCCCAGTATARTCAAAGGGTTAACTTGTGGTAATCTCTGCCCCTAAGTCATAGAAAAACCCATATCCCAATGATTTCTTTTGAAAAGTGGCGAAGCAATGGTTTCTGTTGTAAATGCTTAAAAGTCTCCTACCCATACATGTATTTTATATAATAACATACTTTCAGGCCTGAAATGTAGGGCCCATGAATGACCTGTCAGCATGGAATAATCAACAACATAAAACACAAGTAGCCATATTGTAAAATATTGAGGTACAAAATATTGAGATGATTATAACTGATACCTTTGATGCATGTCCACTAGTTGCTAAACATTCTAAACTTTCTGGTAAATTTTGTATAAGGCCTTGTAGGACCTAATTCAATCAAATGCAAGATTCTAATTAGAAATCATGCAACTAAACTATAATGCCAGTATTATGTTTGTATCAAACTTACCTCAATGGATTCATCTTTTAATAATATACCTAAATCTCTTTGGGTCAGTCCAACACCAGAACCAAGGAGTTTTGCAACCTGGAATATTATCATACAAATATGTTATTCATTTGCAAACTAAACACTGGTACTAACTCTTATGATGAATTATATTTTTTCTTAATTTGAGCCCCTAAAGACCATTTATTGCAAACAAAAGGGCAAGAAAACCAGAATATGATTATACAGTTCTTTTTGTTCCAATTAACTCCACCTCACATGAATCTCATAAAGATTATATAGAGTGAGACAGTCACTGACAGTTGTCTGTTACATCCCAAGTGGTTCTTTTACACCCATCCAAAGCACTAAGAAGGAAGTGTGGCATGAAATGGGTGTGCTGCTTTTCTATTTTGTTTTTAGTCTCAAAAGTGAGATACTGTATCTTCTTGTAAGGACTGGTTGCATATACACCATATTCATTCCTTGTCAGTCCTACTATTGATGAAGCAATGAAGAAAACAATGCAGATGGCCATGCAGATATTGCAGCAAGGCAAACAAAACAGCATGACAAGCAAAACAACACAAGAAAAAAACAAAAACAAAAACAAACAAACAAAAATAAAACTGCCAGATAAACTAAAAATTCCCACATGAACAAACCACCCACATGAACAAACCACCCACATGAATAAACCACCCACTTGAATAAACCACCCACATGAACAAACCACCTAAATGCAAAAGACAGTGCCAGATATGTCTATTCACATGAGTTCTTGAGTAGTGATCAGAGGCCAGGAGACATTTTCATGTCAGTTATGTAAAACTAAAATAATCGAAAATCAAAATGACAGTAACAAACCTCATGAAATCCACATGCTACAGTTCTTCTAACAAGTGCATGAGGATCTTGTACCAGGTTGTGAAAAGTTGAATATAATTCAGTACTGAACCTTTGAGGTCCCGAAAACAGCACCATTGCCTGTAAATGACCATCATAAGATGAACAAACAATACAGGACAATGACAAATATCTTTGAGATCACATACTGGTAAATTGAAAGCACAACAACGTCGACATTCAGCATGGTCATCATCTTGTATTGTAGCTCCAGATAAACTGTAATTCTAGAGTGGAATACGAAGAAGTTCTTGTAAATGTTTAAAATCCAAACACTATTCTCTTGGATGATCTTTGAAATACTCACCTGTAGGGCTAATGTAACACAACCTACTCTATTTTCTATATTTGGATTTCCACAAACACTTAATTTTCTATAATAATCCAGGAACCATTTCTTTTGACTTTCATCAAAATTCACTGAAAAATCAAAATGAATCAAATTACTGCTTGTTCTTCTTTTCTCTTGTGACTTTTGTACTTTTGTAAATAGGAATTGCTTCTGTAATTGGTCTGTGATTTTATGTACAATGCATACACGACTAGTGTCTGCATTTATTCAGGAACATAAAGATCAAAGCAGTAGAAGGCAAAGACTATATATTGCAAAATTAAGGTGAGCAAATGTAAGAAAAAAAACTTATCTCTCATACAAGCATGCAGGTCATTTGTGGTAGACACAAAATTGACACTAAATCATGCCCAATGTAATTTTCAGAACAAGCCACTCTACCAAACATGTCTAGCATTGATAGCAAAGTTCTCTACTACAATGCAACTGATCAAAATAAAGAAACTAACAAGAAACCAATCAAACAACTTATAGTCAAGAAGAGGTTTTTGTTTTTATCACTTATATCAGCTACCATTATTCCCATTGAAGCAATCTATACACAGGAAGYAATCTATTAAGAGATTTACCTGACAACCCATGGCACAACTTTCCAAATAACTTTGCAACTTTACAAATSGACTCCTTCCCATATTTAGAACAGTTTTCACAAAACCTTTGCACAAGTGGAATGATGATTTTAGTGCAAGTGTCTGCAAAATAAAGAAAATGAAACTTTATACCTTTCTAACAAGTACATTTAGAATATGTCTTCAAAATAACGGCCGGCCAACGGACAATAACCGGCCAAAATTCGCACTTGTCCGGTAAAACTTCATTTTGCCTGGTCATCTTGATCGGTCAAGTCTATAATGTGAAATAAAAAACTATCAAAATAACTACTTCCACAGTGGATTCAGGTCGACTGTTAATATAACGAACGATTCTTGGGCGTCGATATTCTGCTATGAAGACTATCAGACAGATATAAGTTTTATAGAAAATGCTATTTAATGAATACAAAACRCAATTCGAAGAAAGGAAATAGAGGAAATGGCATCTTAGATGTGATTCTACTTGTTTATTGAACAATGATCTTGTATCYCTACGAACCAGATAGTCGTCAAACGTCCACRAAACGTTGAAGCCGTAGAACAATATTCAGTATTTTCGATATGATGTTTCAAACTAGCTTTCGTTCTCATTTTTTGTGGACTTAACTAAGRCATGTCAACAGATTTATACTGAGGAAAAACAGATGATTGGAAGTATTTTAAGCGAAGAACATGAAAGACTATCAACGTACTGGCTGTGCTTACAGCCAAGGATGCGACTCTCAAACTAACGGTTCACCAAACATAAATTACTTCTTTCACAATATTATTAAATTCTACTGAGTGCATTGCTTGTTTCATTGATTATTTTTCAGTAAAGGAAATCTTTTTTTGCTGTTGTCTTTTTAATATTAATTTCATTAGGGTTCAATATCATTTACTGATTGTGATATACCAAAGGAAGCCCATGTAAACGATCGCTGCTGATCGTCTAGTTTCTCAAAAAGCACAGAGAGCATTTTCAATCGTTTTGTCTTGGAGTTGTTTCAGTAACGCGATGCTAATTTGCATTGTTCATTTAAGCGACTTTGYCRCACTTAAAGTGAAGAATCCAGTGTAAATATTTTGAATACCCAGAAATAAGCCTAAGAAATTGTTCCTTATATTAAACAAATACAATCTGCTTTCATATTTTTTTGAAATACGAAACGGTTTCGGCATGATCCTTATGTTTAGAAGTTTGGTGGCACGATGAGATTTAATTATCACTCAAGTTAATTACTAGTTTGCTTTTACCTTTTGAATGAAAAACAACTCTTTAAAGTATCAATTATCAATCTTAACAATTTAATGTCTCCAAGATCAAATTCATCATACACCGCACGTTAAATAAACAGATTGTAATTTCATACGAAATGCATGGATCACGGAAATCGAGCAGCGGAAAAGCACTTTAAAATCAAAGAAAGCTGTGCTCGCAAGTGGCGATCAAAAAGAGAAAACGTTCCTAAAACTCGGGGTGCAGCTTATCTAAGAGAGCGGCTTATACATKGGRAA